CTGGCCAGCCTGAAGCCTCATGAGCAAACCCCTCTGACACCCCGGTTCTCTCTGTGCCCCAATCAGCCTGCCCACAGGTGAGGGGTTTTAAAACCCAATCTTACCTACCCTGAACAGGTTCTGTCTGGTCCCAAGAAACCAGCCACAGATCCTAGGTCAATTTACACTCTGGATCTTACCCACAAATCACGCTGAGCCAATCCTTTAGAATCTAAAATCCAAAGGTTTATTACTAAAAGAAAGAAAAGCATGAGAGAAAGGTTGTTACAGTATCATACATTACATTCATCGAATCTCTCCGTTCTTGATGCAGGCTTGCAGCAGAGATGTTATAACTGCTGGCTTAAAAGTCCTTGGTGTACATCCTATGTCAGGATGGGTCCATAGTTGTTTCCGGCTCGTTGATCCCTGCAATCCTGCATGTGGGATGAAGAGCTGAGCTGAGCACATCATGATGGAGTTGGCCACATGGCCTATTTATATACCCCCTGGCTTCTTCCAAGCTGGAGAGAGTCACATGGTCAGTGGCCAGGTGTGTCTTGGCCTCCAGAGGTCCATTGTTCCCTGGAGTTTTGTTCATTAGCATGTCCATGGGCAAACATTCCTGGCCCATTGCTCAGAGACTCTTTCAGCATCAACACAGTACATATTTATAACTTCACACACAGACATTATACAGGTATATGAAGAGCATATCATCAATCAGGAGACAATAAGCTTTCGTTTGACACCTCACATGGCTCCCTTTGTACCAACTTTTGGGGCAAACACCCCCGTAGGGGTCCAGCAGTGATCTGGCTGCTCCCCTTAAAATCCAGTAATGTGACATCAGCATCAACACAGTACATATTTATAACTTCACACACAGACATTATACAGGTATATGAAGAGCATATCATCAATCAGGAGACAATAAGCTTTCGTTTGACACCTCACATGGCTCCCTTTGTACCAACTTTTGGGGCAAACACCCCCGTAGGGGTCCAGCAGTGATCTGGCTGCTCCCCTTAAAATCCAGTAATGTGACACCCCTGCCTCACAGTCCCAGAGCAAAGCAGGAGGTTGGGGAACACTTCATACTCTGGGATCTCTGACCTAGGAGCCCACATACTTAGTCTTCTACAAAGGGTAGTGTCCAGGTGAGGCTGCATCCAGGCTTCTTACTGAAGGTAGTCTCTGCTTTTCACACTAATCAGGATATAATCTTGCCAGTGTTCTGCCTCAAGTCTCAAAGGCTGGCAGAAGAGAGGCTGTACTGAACATCGGAGGAGCCTTGGCGTTTTGCCTCGAGTGTACGAAACCTGTTCGCAGATCGACACTGTTCTTTATAGCTACTGCTTTTAGAATGAAGGACCTGCTGGTATTTGCTCAACTGCTTTTGAACTGGTTTATCTCATGTGTTTGAGCTTGCGAGGAGTCTCCCACTGCCCATCATCCACATTCACTCAACTAGGGTTCAAGCCTCGTTGGTAGCCGTTTTAGCACATGTGCCGGTCCATGACCTCTGCATGACCTATGCAGAGCCATGATGTGGTCTCAAATTCACATGGTTATGTCTCACTATGCCATTACTAGGCAGGCCAGAGATGACACAGATGACAACTTGGCAAAACTCTGCCACAGTCAACACAGCCTTGAACTCCTACCCACCTGCTTGGAGCCACCTACTGTGGAATGGACATGAGCAAGCACTTGAAGAAGACAGTTACCTGTTTGTAAGAGGTGTTTGAGATGTCATTCGTTTCCATTCCACATTCTGCCCTCCTTCCCCACTGTCACTTTCCGGAAAGAGGAAACCAAGAGTGGGAGAAGCATGCGGCACCCATTATTTCACACCATGGAGGCATCACTCAAGGAGTTGTTACAGCTCCTCTTGTACAGATACAGCAGAGGGGAAAAACTTCTGGCATGTGGCAAGCACACAACCTACTGTGCAATGGACATGAGCATGAAATCTTGAACACCAGTTATGAAAAAGTAACTGTTTTTTTTTCTTCAGGCTGCAGGAGTTTTGGTGAAATATCAGAATGGTTCCTTGTAAGCAGGAAAAACTCATGTGGGGAGACTTTTCATGTGTATTTTTAAATGGCAAAGTTACAACTTCTGGCATGTGGCAAGCACACAACCTACTGTGCAATGGACATGAGCATGAAATCTTGAACACCAGTTATGAAAAAGTAACTGTTTTTTTTTCTTCAGGCTGCAGGAGTTTTGGTGAAATATCAGAATGGTTCCTTGTAAGCAGGAAAAACTCATGTGGGGAGACTTTTCATGTGTATTTTTAAATGGCAAAGTTACTTAAAGTTTTGGATTCAAAGCTGCTTTTTA